GCTTTGCAGTCCGGGCTCCTGCACGCCCGCTCGGCGTAGGGGACGTGAAACACTGGCTCGCCATTGGTAAGCGTGAACTTCATCCTCTGCTTGTTCCCCCCGTGGGCTTTCCAGCACAGCGGCAGCGTGGTGAGAAACTGCAACTCGCTGCTGTCACACTGCGCTGGCACATCATTCCACTTGTCCTTCTGACGAGTGCGCCGAGGCCCCTCCTGCGCCTCTTCGTCCTCGTCGTGCTCGTATACGTCGCCCTGCGCCACGTCGCCCGCGCCGTCGCCCTCGCCACCTCCAGCAGCTTGGGCGGGCGGCAGCGCGGCCGCTGCGGCAGGACCAACGGCGACAGGCGGCTCACCGACCGCCGCCGCGACAGCGACGCCAGGATCGGCCGCCATCGCGCCCGGCCGGCAGCCGGCCCCCCGACCCGGGGCGCCCGCTCCCGGCAGCGACCAGGCGCCAGCAGCCCCTGGCCTCCAGCACACATGCAAGGTAACAGATGAATGACAAGGAGACAGACCTGCAACAAAACAAGAGGACGTTGCACCGTCAACGTCGTTCGAAACAGGTGAGTGCCAAAAGAACTGGCGAAGAACCCAACCACGACTCAGTTGGCAAAGCCGAATTATGAAACTGTGGCGGTGGAGTGGGAGAAAACAGTAAAACCGCGCGTCGTGGTACGAATGAATAGCACATGTCTGTTCACAACGTGTGTGACGCCCATGCTTAACACGCGTAGCGAGTGTAAGACCCAACGTTTGTTAGACTCCCCCATGTTCGACCGAAGGAAGTGCGCGCAGACGGCACCACCTCACGGGGCCACCTCGGGGAGGGCCACGAGGGGAAGAGCGACTCTCCGGCCACCTCGGGGAAAAGCGGCTCTCCGGCCGAGGCCGCGACGCGCGAAGCGCGATTATCCTCGCGCCTGGCGGTGACCTAGATCGGCGGCGAGCGAGGTAGAGAAAGGACAAAGAAAAGGCCTTCTCAGAACGCGGCGGGACTACTCAGAAGCCCTCGCGCCTCCTCAGAGGCTTCAGAAGGCTGCGCCTTTTGAACAAAAAAAACACACCCTCTCATTCCCCCCCCAGGCCCGCCGGCGACTAAAGCTATCGAATCCCGGCGACGCCCAACACAAAATCCGAGCCCCGTCCGGCGGCGGCGACGTCATCGAACAAAGCGACAACTTTCTCCCAGCGACCGACGCGCCCCAACGATCTGCCCCTCAGAACGCGGCGTTCAGAAGGGCGCTCAGCCAAGACGCACCCCTGCCCAGGCGAGGCCGTCCGCCCTGAAGTCTGCGTCAAGACTGCTCCACCGCTAGAGAAACAAGCGCCGCGCGCGTTTGACAAGTGCCTGGGCGACAGCGAGCCCGCCGCCCGCGCCCTGAACGCGGCTGCGGCGACCGAGGACGACTCGACGAACTCGCCTCGCGCCTCGCTGGGCTTTCCCAAGCAAGAAACGTCTGAGAAAGCCGACAGTGGCCAGACGAAAAATGTCCTCAATGGCGGCTGGCGAACGGTGGACGAAAGCACGACGTGGGCCAGAGGTCGGCGCCGGATCGCGCAGACTCAGCGAAACAGTCATCTGCGCATCCATGACGCCGTAGAAACCGCCCCTTCCGTCCGCGACTCGACGCCCCAGAACGGAAGCAGGGCGCACGACCCTGGATCGGCCCATGCTCCTCCCCGGACTCCGCGCCGCGCAGGAACGCGCGCCTTCGGCGGCCCTGACATCCCGGCGGCCTTGGAGCGACCGCGCGGCTGCCCGAGCCCCGGGCCCAATCCACCGAGTCGCGAGCCCTCGTTCCAAAACAACCGCGTCCGCACGATTCGAACGAACGGCCGCTTCATAAGGAGCGACGGCGGCACGACGGCTGCAAGTGCCGCAGGACTTCTGCATAGAAGGAGAATGCGATGCTCCACCGCTAGACGACAAGCGGGCGGTTTCGCGAACCATATCTCTGGGCGGGGGCCGCGCGCGTGCTAAGCCTTGCAGGGCGCCACCGTGACAGAATGGGCCGGTTTCCCAATCAACGTGAGAATCGGGGCTTTTGAAATCGTGCGACGCGACGGTGTAAAATACACCATCAAGTGGTGCGACCCATCAGCGCGGCGTCGCTCCGAACGCAACTGGCCGGTCAAAGGCGAGGCGTGCCAAATCCCGTAACTTGTGAATCTCTGGAAGATTCCGCATGGCCAGAGCGAACCGCCCACGTGGCATACCGGGCGCTCGCTGCACGCCGGCGTTCTGAGAATGTGGCAACCCAGTGACAACGCCGCCGTTGCCGTGCTTGAAGCCCACGTCCTTTAGGTCCGCAGCGAAGAGCTTGACTAATTGGTCGCGAACACGGTGGCCGTCGATCATTTGAGCGGCAACGCAATGATAGGTCTGAAACTACTCCTCAAACGGTGGTCTGACGATATCTCTCTCCCCTCTTGCACAACCACCCGTCCACTTCGGGGAAGGGTGTACCCCTCCCCCAACCACTCCTCCTCCTCCTCCTCCTCCTCCTCCTCCTCCTCCTCCTCCTCCTCCTCCTCCTCCTCCTCCTCCTCCTCCTCCTCCTTCCCCTCCTCCTGCTCCTCCTCTTCGTCATCCTCCTCCTCCTCCCCCTCCCCATCCTGCTCCTTTTCGCCGCCCCGCGCGGGCCCGGAATTGTGCCCGGCGCGCCGCCCAGGCCAGCCCTCTCGCTGCCTAACTACGCGGGCATCGTTTTTACATGGTCTGGCAGGGATACGCGAAACGTCAAGAATTACATAGGTTCGGGCTCTTATATTGTTGCCAGTGGCGAATGATGGGCAGACGACGAACTCGCGAACAAGATCGCATACAGCCCTGAAAAATCAGTGTCGTCTAAGCAATTCCAGAGGCGCCCGCAGGCGGCGTCCACGAAACTGCATACTTGCGCCGGCCATGAGGGCGACACTCGACACGGAACGGCGCGGGCGAAAACAGCAGCAAACTACAGAGAGGTAGAAGCCCGAAATGTGAACTGGACCCAACACAGCAATACAGCGTGGCACCGACACGGGAAAACGGCACGGGCACACATGGGGCTGCGTGGCCCACGAGAGGCCCCGACCGACACGACACGGCACGGCACCACTGACAGGGGAACGCACGACATGGCACGGCACGGCTTCGGAAAAGGCGGGCTGTGGAATGGGACCACGCCCTTTGGAGATGTTATCTCTGAGGGGTTGTGAAATAACATCCCCCCCGGGGCTGCGCGGCCCAAAAGGGGCCCGACCCACGCGGCACGGCACGGCACCACCGACATGGAAACGCACGACATGGCACGGCACCGTTTCGGAAAAATCAAGCTGTGGAATGAGACCGCGACCCTTGGAGATGCTATTTCTGAAGGGGCTGTGGGATAACATGCCCCCCCCAGGGGCTGCGCGGCGCAAGAATGGGTCCGGACCGACGCGGCACGGCACGGCACCACTGACATGGAAGCGCACGGCATGGCACGGCACCGCTTCGGAAAAGGCGGGTTGTGGAATGAGACCACGCCCCTTGGAGATGTCATTTCTGCCGGGCTGTGAAATAGCATGCCCCCCCCAGGGCTGCGCGGCCCAAGAGGGGACCCGACCGACACGGCACGGCACCACTGATAGGGAAACGCGCCACATGGCACGGCACCGGTTCGGAAAACGCGGGCTGTGGCATGAGACCGCGACCCTTGGAAATGTTATTTCTGAACGGTTGTGAAATAACATACCCCCCCAGGGGTTGCGCGGCCCGATAATGGGTCCAGACCGACGCGGCACGGCATGGCACCACTGACATGGAAGCGCACGACACGGTACGGCACCGCTTCGGAAAAGGCGGGTTGTGGAATGAGACCACGCCCCTTGGAGATGTCATGTCTGAGGGGCTGTAAAATAACATGCCCCCCCCGGGGCTGCGCGGCCCAAGAACGGTCCAGACCGACACGGCACGGCACGGCACCGCTGACAGAGGAGCGCACGACATGGCACGGCACCGTTTCGAAAATGGCGGGTTTTGGAATGAAGCCGCGATCCTTGGAGATGCTATTTCTGAACGGTTGTGAAATAACATACCCCCCCCAGGGGCTGCGCGGCCCAATAATGGGTCCAGACCGACGCGGCACGGCATGGCACTACTGACATGGAAGCGCACGACACGGCACGGCACCGCTTCGGAAAAGGCGGGTTGTGGAATGAGACCACGCCCCTTGGAGAATGTCTGAGGGGCTGTGAAATAACATGCCCCCCGGGGTTGCGCGGCCCAAAAACGGTCCAGACCGACGCGGCACGGCGCGGCACCGCTGACAGGGGAACGCACGACATGGCACGGCGCCGTTTCGAAAATGGCGGGTTTGGGAATGAGACCGCGATCCTTGGAGGTGCTATTTCTGGGCTGCGCGGCCCAAGAGGGGTCCAGACCGACACGGCGCGGCAAGGCACCACTGACAGGGAAACGCGCGACATGGCACGGCACCGCTTCGGGAAAGAAAAACCCGGTTCCCTCCTCGTTCTCCTTGTTCTCTCCAATTCCTCCTCCTCCTCCTCCTCATCTTGTTCGGTTTTTTCGCCGCGGGTTCACATGTCGAATGGATCGATGAAAACCATAGCGTCAACAGTTCCTTTTTGTCCTCCCCCTCCCCCCCTTCCTCCTCTTCCGCCTCCTCCTCCTCCTCCTCCTCCTCCTCCTCCTCCGTGTCTTCCATGCCCCGCTTCCCCCGCCCCTCCTTTTCTCGCCCTTGCCAAACCACGCCCCCCCCACTCATCCCCTCCTTCCCCTCCCATTTGTTTTCGTGGGCGTGCGTTCGTGTGTCGAGCGACCCACTTGATATGAGGAAGCGAGCTGGGCCGCACATCACCACGCACCCTCGCCAACGCTGCAGGGGCGCCGCGCCGGGCCGCGCGCCGGGCCAGCAGCCAGCTATGGAGCAAGAGTAAAACGACAAGACCTCTAAAATAAACCATGTTAGGCTGAGGGGCGGAACAGCGTCAAAAGCAAACGCCGGCGAGTGCCACTCACGCACGCCGCTCGAATTCAACGCCCCATGGTGCTCCATCAGCGGTGCCGTCCTGCACACCCGCCATGATCATGGTGCCTGCCGGGCTGAACTGCATGGCCTGCATGGGCAACTCCAGCACGCGCTCGGGCGCCGCCTCGGCCGCCCCCTCGGCGTCGCCCCGCATGGCCCCGCGGAGCCTGATCTTCTTGGGGGGCCCAGGACGCCCCGACGTCGCAGGATCCCGCGCGCGCCTGGCCCTGGCGCCGACAGCGCCGCGGAGCGGCGCCGCGGGCGCCGCGGCCGCGGGCGCCTCTGCCGCGGGCACGTCGGCCACGGCAGCCAATCCCCCACCGCCGGCCGCGAGGAAGGGGGGCGGGCCCCGAGGCCACTCCGCGCAAATACCTCGCCAGCGGCGCGAAGCGGGATGGGAGGAAGCCCTCCCGAAGCACGCGAAGATCGGCGTCGTCGAGCCCCTGGGGGTACGTCTTGGCGAAATCCTCCAGTTCCCGGTCTGGCGCCCGCTGCTGGGCGAGCAGGATCTCGCGCGGCGCCTCCACGAGGACCCCCTGGCACTTGTTGCGGGGCGCGAGGCGTTCCTCGAACGGCAACTTGCGGACGTGGTCGGGGTCTAGATGCAGGGCGACGAGGCGAAGCCTGCCGCAGCTCTCGCCCTCCATCTCCCGCGCGCGAACCTTCTTCTGGGTGGCGAGGCACACCCAGGCGACCGGCTTGACGCACGAGGCGCCCATGCCACTGCGCCGGCGAAAAGCCTCGGAGCCATCAAGGAGTTCGAGGACGCCCCCCTCCTGCATCTGGTCCTTGTAGGCGCGGTTGACGACCTTCTCGAGCACGGCATCGGTGACCTGAACCTGGTTCCCGTGGGCCTCCAGGTGGGTCGGAATGCCGTTCGCGGCGATCTTGCCCGAGCGCGCGGCGCTCGCGGCGTTGAGGCGACCAGGTTGTCTTTGCCAGAAGAGACCTCGCCCACGGCGATGAACGGGGGCCCCGCGCTGCCAACGCCCCATTCGGATTCGCCCCCCTCGAGGGCAGGAGTTTGCAGAGAGCCGTCGGCGCCGCGCCAACGATGAGCGGCCTGGCCTTGCAAGGCCTGGTGCGCGACGTGGCTGTCTGGAGGCAGTCCGAAGCCAACTGCCGCGCGCTGGCGCGCGTCCGCCACTTCCGCCAGGGCCGCGGCCCGCAGCGGCACAAAGCGCTGGGCCCCCTTCGGGGCGCGGGCATCCGCGCCCTCCAAGAGCTCGCTGTAGAAAGCCTCGGTCGTCTGCGCCGCGCAGGCGCGAAGGCTCACCCCTTCGGGCTTCGACGCGAGGCCCGTCCGCGGCGGCGTAGACGGCCTTCGCGCCCCAAAGGTAGGTTGACCATTTGTCAAAGCAGGCCCCCCGAGTCTTCGGGCCCGCGCCCGCGACGCACACCGCTAAGTCTTCGACGTCGACCGCCTGGCCCGCGACGCCCTGCCAGACTGGGAGGTCCGACTGCTGACCCCCCCCCCTAGCGCCGATAGCGGGGTCTGGCTTCTCCGTAACGGCCGCCGCCAGGGCGTCGTAGTCCGCCAAGCAACCCTCGCCCAACTCCGCCGCAGGTTGGCAGAAAGCCTCGGCGCTCATCTGAGTGCCCAGGGCCTCGTCGTCGTCCTCTGGCGCCGGGGCGAGTTGGCCCTCGCCGGCCGCATCGCGCGCGCCCTCGCCCTCGGCGGCGCCTGCGAGCTCGTCGGCCTCGCCCGCGGCCGCGCCCGCCTGAAAGCGGAGCGCATCCTCCGCAAGAGCCACCGCGTCGACGTCGGCCATGTGGTCGCGACGCTGGCCGAAGGTCGGGAACGCGGGGCAGGGGCGTCCAAATGGATGGGCAAGGTGCCGCGGCGTCCGAGCCCTCGGCGCAGCGGGAGCGATTGGCGATGGTGCGCCCCCAAGGCCAACCCCTAGGGCCTTTCCTTAAGGCTACCTTAGGCCCACTTCTAAGGCGCACCCCTGGGGCCACCCCGGGCCGACCCCCCAGGCCGGACCCTGGGGCTACCATACGCATGCCCCTAGGGCCTGCCACTGGGGATATCTCAGGGGTACCCCTAGGCCCTACCCCTAAGCGCTACCCCCTAGGGCTACCAAGCCTTCCCCTCTGGGGCTACCCCGAGCTCATCCCTAGGGCCAACCCCTGAGACTACCCGAAGCCTACCCCAGGGCGCACCCCTCGGGCTACCCCCAAGCTTTCTCCTAGGTGTCTGCGCGCCAGGCAGATTGCGATGCACCGCATCATACTTTGATGCCCCGCCTGTCGGGGCGCGCCCCAGCCCGCGCCGTTTTCGCAGCGCGCGTCAAGCTCGCGGTCGGTCACGCGGCTACAGCCTGCCATCCTGAAATAAGGGGTAGAGATACCCTATATCACGCGGCTCCGCCAGCGCATCGGCGCAGCTCCCAGCGGCGCGAACTAGCGGCGCCCCGGCCACCGCGCCCTCCAGGATCGCCGCGGCGAGCTCCTCCGCCGCCAAGAAGTCGCGGCGCGCGCGGTCGGGCCGGCGACATTCGAGCAGCTGGTCGCGCGGTCGCCCCGAGGCCGCGCGGGCCGCCGCCGCTCGAACGAAACGAAGGAACACCAGCATGTTCACAGTGGCCACGTCCGCTCGCGAGCGGCCGTTGGTTCGAGCGCGACGCTGTTTTTTCCGCCAGTCCCTCTCCTCGCCGACGGCGCCGAGCAAGACGCCCCGCTCCGCCCCCCCACGCCCCATGGCCCAGAGCTTGCGGCGGTGCCCAGCGCGCGACCCATGCAAGACCACCGGGCGGAGCTGGCTCACGAGGACGCGGTCGAACCGCACCTGCTACCGGCCGCGCGCCTCTTGTGCGACCCTCCCGCCAGGGCGTCGACACCGAGCGCGGCTTCGGCGGGGCCTGCTGCTTCGCCCTTCGTCGTCGCTGTCTTCCTCGGCCTCGCCGGCGGCGCCGCTGTCGTCGTTGCCCTCATCGTCGCCGTTCTCCTCGGAGAACTCGCCGTCGCCCGCGGCGTCGCTGGCCGCGGGCGCGTCGGCGCCACCCCCTTGGCGGACGCACTCTCATTATCCGAACATGCCTGGCGATCGCCCGCTGCCTGGCTGGGCGCGGGCGCGCCCGCCGGCGCGCCCCGCGGCTTGCGCGCGCGCCGCGTAGGCCCGCCGGGCCTAATTCGCGCGTGCCGCAGGTAGCGGGCCTGGGCCCGGCGCCACTCCGGAGGCGCCGCGCCGCGGGCCTCGGCGAAGTTGGGGGGGCGAACAGGTCGCCCAGGCCGCGGGGGTCCCGGGCGATATCCTCCGCGGTCGGATGTCCGAGTGGGCCGCATGCGAGCTCGAAAGCAGCCGAGGCGGCCGCCCGGCGCGCCCCCGCGGACGCATCCACCACGAACGCCGCGCCCTCCAAGATCGCCGCCTTCGCTGGCACGGGCGGCGCTTTCCCACGGCCAGGGCGACGCCGCTCGTCTGCCTCGCTGCCCCCGAAGACCTCGAACGACGCGGCCGGCAACGCGGCGCCCTGAAAGTACAGCTGCTAGACCTGGTGCACATCAAGCGGCGCGGCGCCCTGAACATCCGCGCGCGCCGCGAGCCGTCTATTTGCGCCGCCGACGATCGGCTCCGCGTTGGAGCGGCCAAAGCGCACCTCGGGGTCGAGGGGGCCCAGCCATTTGCACGCGCAGATCGCCCACGCAGCATCGACCGAGGTCGTGTTGACCGCCTTGAGAAGGCGCCTGTGCACGCGCAGCGCGTCCTGCCCAAGCTCGAACCCAAGGGCTCTGTGTGCGCCCAGGTCCACGACAATGCCGCAGCTCTCCACGCGCTGCTGCGAACGCTTCAAGACGCCGCCTTGTCGCGCCGCGCGGCCCCGGGGAAGGCGGCGCCCAGGCAGACCGCGATCGTTTTGAACTCCTTCGCAACGCCGCCCACGTCGGCGCCGACAGGCCGGATGCCCCGGGTCTGCAGCAAGCGCAACCGCGCCAACGCCACGGTCTCAATGTTGGATCTGTCCCTGGCGGCGGCGTAGAGGCCAAGTAGGAGCGGCGCGTTGGACAAGCCGGTCAATCCGCCGAGGGCGCGGCGTTCCTTCCCGCCACAGACTTTGGACCCGATGGCGCGGAGCTGCCTGGCATCGCTCGCGGAGAAGTCCACGTTCCCGATGGCCCCATAAGAGGCGCAGACCGCGAGGGCGAACCGCGGCGCCATCGGACCAGGCACCTCTGGGCCCAAGTCGCGAACCACCCCCCGATGGTTCGGCAGCCTGGCGTCGCGCGCGCGAGACCGCGCAGGGCTGCGTGGATGCATGTCGCCTCGAATTTGCCGAGGTCTGCGCGCAGGGGGTGGTCGGCCACGGCGTTCATGAGGAGCGTCGTGGTCCGCCTGCGCACCAGCTTCTCGACGCGCCTGTAGTTCTCCGCGCCCTGAAACGCGCCCAGCGCTTCGGACCAGAAAATCGCCGGCAAACAAGCATTCGCCAACGACGTCGCCAACGACGGCGCAAGCCCTTGAGTCCGCGCCGATCGGCTGCTGAACAGATCGACGGTGAGCCTGGCACCAATACTTGTGCGTCAGTAGGCGACGGCAGCAAGCCGCGCGCAAGTGCATCCGCGCGGCGCGCGTCCCGCGCCGAATAACACGGCGCAGTTCCCAGCCCGGCGGCTCGGGGCACGCGGCAGGGGCCATGGCGAAGTCAATAGGCAAGCGCACTGCGTCGCGCGACAGCCGAAGTCCAAGGGCTCGGATCGAATGGGGCCCCGTGGACGGAACTGCAGGGTGGCGCTCGGCCCAGGGTCGCCCTCCGCGGCGTAGCTGCCGCCAGCGGCGCGCGGAGGCTGGGCGGCCGCTGCGCGTTCGGCAGAAACCTGCGCGAAACTAAGAATCTCGCGGCCTGCGCCGTTCGACTCCGCGACTCCATCGTTGGCGGACACGCGCTGGAAGCAGCGCTGGCGGGGATCATCTCGAAGCCGTCGTTTCGCTCGGGCGCGGCAATCCGTGGAACTAGGGCCACAGATCGGCTGAAGAGCTCGGGCAATTCGAAGAGCTGGCTCTGCAATAGCGCCACCTCTCCAGCAACCGCCGCCATCAGGATGAGTCGAGCACGCCTGCTTCGAATCCAAGGGCCGCCCGAAGAAGGGGAACGCGTGCGCATTGCCGAACTTCACGAAGGACAGGATGCAGGCGCGCACGTTCTCCTCGCCTGGCCACTCGAAGAAATCGCGCACGCGCGTTTCCGCGGGCACCGGGAGCTCGACCCGCGCAGCGTTCGCGAGCGACGCGGCATGCACGAACCGCAGGGTAGCTGATCTGGCGCTCGCCTCACCGAACAGCTTGGTCTAAGACGCGTGCAATGCCGACAGATCTGGCATCGGAGGGATGCGTCGTGAATCGGCTGTCCGAGACGGACCAGGCCTCTCTCGGCCAAAGGATGGAGCGGCTCGCGCTCGCTTTGCTGCGCGGCACCGCTACGGCGGGAGCAGCGACGCGCTTCTGACGGCAGGCGTGGTTCACCGTCTTGCCCAGCGCGGCAATATACTCCTCGCAAGGCACGCGCTGCCACTTGCCCGCGGCCAACGCCGGATCTTGTCCGCTTGCTGGCACACTGCGGCGGACTGGGACGGGTAAGTCTCGTGCAACGAATGGTGTTTATCCAAATTCCGCCTCCAGTTTGGGTCGGCCCCCACAATGGAGAACTGCCAGCCCTCGGGTTGGCCGAACCAAGTCTGCGCTAAGATCCCATTTGACGCAGTGCAACGGCGCATTGGTGCAGCGCGGAAGTGCTTGAACCAAAGTGTTGGACTGACCATCGAGCATGCATGTAATCTCACATGTACTCATTCCTTCCTCTCATCCTCTTCCTTCCCCCTCCTCCTCCTTCTCTGTATCCCCTTCCTTCTCTTATTCCTCCTGCCTCGATCTTCGATCCTCCGCCCTCGAACCTGCAACCCCGATCTCGTCTGCGCTTCCTAGGCCGATTAATGGGCATCATGAGGGCAGGAACGGGGTCGCCCATTCAAGCCCGCCCCTTGGGGCCGCGCGGCCCAAGAGGGAATTGGGCCGACACGGCGCGGCATGGCACCGCTGAAAGGGAAGCGCACGACATGACACGGTACCGTTTCGACAAAAAAAAAGGTTTTGCAATGAGACCGCGCCCCCTGGATATGTCATTTCTGAGGGGCTGTGAAATAACATGCCCTCCCCGGGGCTGCGCGGCCCCAAAGAGGTCCGGACCGACGCGGCCGCTTCCGAAAAAACGGGATGTGGAATGAGACCACGCCCCTTGGAGATGTCATTTCTGAAGGACCGCGAACGAACACGCCCCCCCAGGGCCGCGCGGCCCAAGAGGGATCTGGACCGACGCGGCACGGCACGGCACCACTGAAAGGGAAGCGCACGACATCGCACGGCACCGCTTCGGAAAAAGGCGGGCTTTGGAATGAGACCACGCCCACTTGGACGCGTCATATCTCAGGGGCCGTGAAATAACATCCCCCCCCGGGGCTGCGCGGCCCAGGAGGGGTCCGGACCGACGCGGCCGCTTCGAAAAAAAATGTGGAACGAGATCGCGCCCCTTGGAAGTGTTATTTCTGAGGGGCTGTGAAATAACATGCCCGCCCCATGGGGCTGCGCGGCCCGAGAGGGATCCGGGCCGACGCGGCGCGGCGCGGCACAACTGAAAGGGAAGCGCACGGCATGGCACGGCACCGTTTCGGGAAAGGCGGGCTGGCGCAGTAGAGAAATCAATGTTGGGGAGGCAAGCCAACTCGGAAGCTAGGACACCGAGGGGGGGGGGCGAGAAGAGGAAGGAAGGAGGGGAAGGAAGGGGGGGGGGGGGTGAGAGCATGGGGGAGAGGAGGTTGCTTTACTTGGAGGCGTCGTCGGATTAGCCTGATGCCGCAAACCCCCGACGTGGAGGCCTGGGCAGATAGAAATCAAGAGCTTGGAATTAGCAGCGTCAGTGTGAAAAGGATACGCTGAAAAGCAGCAGTTGGAAAAGTGGATAAGTGGATTAATATAATGGAATACGTGGCGTCAGTGCGAAACTGGGGAATTTGAAAAGCAGCAGTGGGAAGAGGGAAGAATTCAAAAGTGGAAGAAGGGGAAACTGGAAAACTGGAACACTGGAAAAGCGGAAAAGTGGTTTACCTTTCCGCTATTTCCACTTTTCGACTTTTCCACTCACCGATTCCACTCTTCCGCTCTTCCACTTTTGCACCTTTCCAATTACATCCTGACTTTTCCACTGTTCCACTTTCCACTTTTCCGATTGGTGCTTCCACCTGTCCACTTTTTCACTTTTCCGTTTTCCCACTTACCTGTGCTTTTCCACTTTTCCAATCTCGTGGCTGGCTTTTCCACTTCTCCACTTTTCCACTCTTCCATTTCTGGGGTGCGCGCTTTCACGGTAAGCGGACGAATCCAGGTTTACTTGCTTAGGGATGATGGGCGTGCCCCCATCCGAAACATGCGAGCGCAGCCTGTACCAAAAAGGCTGCGGATGAGAAGAAGAAAGAGGGGAGCACGGCGGATGCCGGATTAACCTGTTAAAGGGTCGGGCCTATAACATAACCATGCCTGCATACCTACATACAGACACACACATACATCCATACATGCATACATACACACATGCATACATCCATACACACCTGTGCCGCTCAGACGGCGCCCCAAGAACGGGCCTTGATTGTGAACCGGAGGCCTCTTGTAGATGTATCTGAAGATTTCTGGGGAATTCTCTCAAAGGCTCGTTTGGGGCCCACTGGGGGTCTCCGGGAGGTTTCCTAGGGGCCTCCTGGAGCCTCTTTGGAAGCCTCTTGGAGACCCGTTGGGGGCCTATTGAGGCCTCTCGCGGGCGTCTTGGCAGCCTCTTGCTCTTGGGGCCTCTTGGGGACTCTTGGGGGGCCTCTCGGGGCACTCGGAGGTCCTCTTTGGGCGGGGGGGTCGAAATTATAATTGGATTTCCCCATCTTGGCGCCCTTTGAGGGCCCGTTTGGGGCGTATGGGCTGCCTCGTGGACCGTCTTGGGACCCTCTTGGGCCGTCTTGGGGCCCTGTTGGGGGCTTGTTAGGTCGTCAGGAACGGTACGACGACCAAAAAAACGAATCTGAAAAATATACGCTTAACACAAGGAGTCTGACGATGTTTGCTTGTCGGGGCCCTCTTGGGTGACCTCTTCGAGGGGTCTTCAGGCGTCTTGGCCGCCTGCGAGGCCGTTCGAAGCGCCTCGTGAGCCGTCGGATACCCCTGCAGGTCGTCTTGAGTGTGGTTCGCGACTGTCTTGGGGCGCCGTGACGTCCGCTCTGGGGCGCTTTTGGGACCTCCAAAGGCGGGCCCGGCCCCCCGGCCTGCAATTTGACATAGTGGTCGTGGCCCCTGGGCCCCTGGGCCCGGTCACCATATAGCAGCAGCCAGATGCGCGGGCAGGGACAAGCAACGTAAATAGAAAAGAATCAGGAACGCGTGGTGGAGGACCCCAAGTTGTCGGAGTGCGGCATAAGCCAGTGAATCGCTGACGTTGGCCATGATTTGTGTGATCTGGTCGCACGCCTCCTTAGGGGTGGCGGTGGCCAGGCTGGTGGCATTGATCCTGAGGCGCACCGTGTTGGCATTCAGCTGCCCGAGGAACGGGAATAGCGCCCTCTCCAGGTCTTCCGGGACCGTGCGCCTGAGCAACTGGATGGCCTTCAAACTGTCCTGGTGGAGCCCTCGGAGGCGGAAGCCGGACTCGTGGAAGAACTTCGCCATGATGAAACGCAACTCCACGTCAGAAGCGGAGGTGCTGTCTTTGACGAACTGGGTGGTCTTCTGCTGGGTCTGATCCAAAAACTTCCTGACATTCACGTCCACCCTCTTCGTCACGTTGCGGAAGTCCTCCACGAACTCCTCGTCCTGTAGAGCCTCTGGCAAGGCCAGGACAACGTCCACCATGTAGCTCATGTTCACGCCCGCCAGGCCACCCAGAGAATCCTCCAACAACTGCTCCGCGCGCGCGGTCATCTCCGTCTTGGCCTGTCGACGGTTCTCTTTGATCGCCCGACGCTCCTCGGCCTCGGCCATCCTCTCGCCCATCAGGATCTTCCTCCGCTTCTCGGTCGCCAGCCTCAGCTTCTTCATCGCCAAGTTCGCGGCCAACTTGGCCACGTCCAGCTCCTTCTTCGACACCATGAAATCTTTCATTGTCTCCTTAGAGAGAAAGAGCGAGAGAGAGAGAGAGAGCTTGAGGCCTCCTCGCTCGGGCGAGAGAGAGAGAGAGAGAGAGATCTTGAGGCCTCCTCGCTCGGGCCCTCCTGGGTATGCCCAGGTGGACCCATCCAAGGAGGCCAAATAGATCCACCCTCCTGGTCTCCTTAAGGTGCGCCTGCTTCTCCCGGAAAATGGCCATCAGCTTCGGGTCGAAATACGTGGACAAGTTGGCCCTGCTCTGGTTATCGTCAGCCTGCACTTCAGTGGCGTTCACCGATGCGTTGGTGGCGGCACCTTCCCAGGAACGGGAGGAAAGAAGCTCGCCCGAGGGGGGAGGGACAGCACAGGCGGGCGGGCACGCAGCAGCAGCAGCAGGGGCACGTGGACACGACCATCGCCCATCCACCCACAAAGAATTGGCCCTTTCCCCAGAGGAGGAGCAGAAGAGGCTCCAAGGGACCTCCGGGAGAAAGCTTCCAGGGCGGTTGCCACGCTGCCCTCTTCTGCACTCCCACGTTCCAGGCAACCCGCCTGGCGATCCTCTTTGGGAGGGGCTTGGTGGGGATGCGCGACGCGTCAAGACCTTGCCCTTCCCCCAGACGAGGAGCAGCGGTGGGCGGTGGACAAACCTCCCTTTGGTAAACCTCCCTTCAGTGAAAACGGCCCGGGACCGGAACCGACGGACCTGGACCCGCAAAAGTGATGTCCGCGACGCCCTCTCGCGGAGCGAAAACGGCCAGTTCGCTAATCGACGCGCCAGGGTAGGAGGCCTGCCAACCCCCGAAGAGGAGGCGGGGCGGCGCCGTCCACAGGCGAGCGCACGCAGGCGTGAGCGGCGGCCAGGGGCGGCGGGGGCGGAGCGTCGGGGCGCGGCGCCGGAGGCGCCGCCCGAGGGGGGAGGAAGCGAGGGGGGGCCCAGGGTTGAGTCGGGCCTGTCCCTCTACAGGGGGGATCTTCAAAAATAGTCAAAAAATAGCATGGGAATCTCTTTGTTTCATACTTTTTGGCAATTTTGGAATACTTTTTGGATATGTTCTATTTTCCGCCGAAAATCCCCCTGTTGTAGGGGGGCACGCCCGACTTAAGCCCAGGGCCCAGCGCCGACCCCGAGAATCTGCGCGGCCCCTCGAGAATAGAACTTACAAGGAGAACGTGCAAGAAGGACGGGTGGCAAGGACGCAGGACCCCTGAAGCCGAGATTGAGATCGGGACTCTTCGGGCGGCGGGCGACCAAAATCCCAGGGGCGCAAGTGGAAAGGGCACAGGACAGACCGCAGAGGCAAGGACATAAGGATACCCTAGAAATGCGCGCGTCCTTACTATGCGCGTTGACTGTATGGTTATGCAGATGCTTGCTCTTCTGTGGGAGCCGGGGGGCGTCATCCCCCTCACCGCCCCTCGTCTCGAGAATTTTGCCTCACCCCCTTCAGCAACGACCTTCTGCGCCAGCTGCCAAATGCACTCCACGGGTGCGCGCGGCACCGCATCCCGAACGCGCCCGGGCGGGGCAACAAATGAGATCCCAAAACTGCCGGATGCATCCGGCAAGAATGCAACGATTCGTGAATCCAGAAAGGAACTGCACCCGCACTCTACGAGTGCGAAAATCAAGCGAACTGGTGCTGAATACCTCAATCGACTTGTCTGGGCGGGCGTTCTATCAATGGCCGAACCTATGGGTGCAAAAGTGTACGGATATTTACCGCAACTCCCACCTCTCCCGAAGCGCTCTGACCAAGACTTAGGGGTAAATCCAGCCGTGGGTGACGTAGGCACCCCAGGAGGCCTCAGAAGGTGACAACGTAGGAAGGGCATCGGGATCTTCAGGGGGGTCAGAATCGCCCCCCAGGCTACAATTTCAGGGGGTATCCAGCCGTGGCGACAGAGAGCCCCAAGGAGGCCCAAAGGGACGAATAACACCCCGAAAACCTCGATGATCGATTCGTCCTCCTCCTCCTCCTCCTCATCCTCCTCCTCCCTGCCCCCCTCCCGAAGAGGTTGGCAGACTGGCGGCCTCCCAAATGAGGCCAGTGTAGATGGGGCCGGAAGATATCATCGCATCACTGATTAGGGGGCCACATGCGAACCCTACCCCTACCCCCCCCCATTTCTCAGGGGGAGGGTGGGGGGTAGGGGTAGGGTTCGCATGTGGCCCCCTACTGATGCATCACCGCTGCACCAGCGACGTCGGCACGCAGACTATCGGACTCCGGCAGACGCAGACTAACGCAGACGATGCGGCGGGACTCTCCGTCTCCATCATGGTATGGTCCCCTTTGGGGGAGCCCCCCCTCGCCCCAGACATCCGACAATGTTGTTCCCAACCATCGACAGCGCCCCGCGTTTTCTTACTCCTCCCGCTGCCCACTCCCTCCCCTCTCATCATGATCATGATCATGATCATCATCATCATCATCATCATCATCATCATCACCACCACCACCACCACCATCATCATCATCATCACAACCACCAACATCATCATCATCATCACCACTACCATCACCACCACCACCACCACCACCATCATCATCATCATCATCATCATCATCATCATCATCATCATTATCATACTCATCATCATCGCCACCATCATCAACAGCACATCATCATCGTTTTCGCCATCATCATCACAAACATCATCATCATCATCGTCATCATCACCATCGTCGTCATCATCGTCTTCATCACTGGCACCATCGTCGTCATCATCATCGTCATCATCACCATCATCATCATCATCATCACCACCACCACCATCATCATCATCATCATCATCATCATCATCATCATCATCATCATCATCATCATCATCATCATCGTCGCCATCATCATCGCCGTTATCGTCGGCATCATCGACACCAATTTCGGCACACCCCTCACACGCTTCGTGGCCCCATAGGGAGCTCCACCGAAGGCCCCAGGTGCTGCGTTCGCATGCGGTTCCACCCCCCATTTCGGCACACCCCTCACACGTTTCGTGGCCCCACAGGGAGCTCCACCGAAGGCCCCAGTGGCTGCGTTCGCATGCGGTTCCACTTCCCTTTCGGCGCACCCCTGCCACGTTCCGTGGCCCCTTAGGGAGCTCCACCGAAGGCCCCGGTGGCTGCGTACGCATGCAATTCCACACCACATTTCGGCACACCCCTCACTCGTTTCGTGGCCCGACAGGGAGCTCCACCGAAGGCCCCAGTGGCTGCGTTCGCATGCGGTTCCACCCTCCATTTCGGCATACCCCTCACTCGTTTCGTGGCCCCACAGGGAGCTCCACCGAAGGCCCCAGTAGCTGCGTTTGCATGCGGTTCCACCCCACATTTTGGCACACCCCTCACACGCTTCGTGGCCCCATAGGGAGCTCCACCGAATGCCCCAGTGGCTGCGTTCACATGCGGTTCCGCTCCACATTTTGGCGCCCCCCTTGCACGTTTCGTGGTCTGAGGCGGCACCACCGAAGGCCGCAGCGGCAGGTTCCGCATGTCGGTGCCGCTCCATTTCTGCACACCCCTCGCACGTTTCGGGGCCCCATAAGGAGCTCTACCGAAGACCCCAGTGGCAGGGTTCACATGGCGGCGCCGTGCCGATTTCGGGACGCCCCTCGCGCAGATCGCACCTTACAGGGAGCGTCACATATGGCTTCTGTGGACGGAGGCTCACGGAGATCTCCAGGCAGTTCGGATCAGGATGAGGGAGGTTAGGTAGGATGATGGTGATGATGATGACGATGATGATGCTGATGATGATGATGATGATGGTGATGATGATGATGATGATGATGATGATGATGATGACGAGGACCAGGAAGACAAATAAATACGATGATGATGATGGTGGTGGTGATGAGGATGAGGATGAGGAAGGGAGGATGAAGCTCAGGGGGACGAATAGGCCGCGCCCCCGCACCAGGGTAAGGATACAAGCGGGAGGACGAGCGCATGGTTCTCTTTCTCTCCCTCCACCTCCTCTCCAGTGCTGCGTTTGCATCCTCCCCCCTCCTCGTCTTCCTTATCCTCCTCCTCGTCCTGTTTGCTCGAGTAGTGGATATGGATATATGGCCGTTGATTCCATTTTACGATGAAGCCATCCGTTGCAAGTAATCTCAACCACCGCGGCGTGTGGCCTGACCCCACCCGGTGTCTAGGATTCTAAGCGATGGGGTGTCCTGAGGGGCATGGTCTTGCACCGGATCGGACTCGACACGCCATACACATCGATGTATGACAGTATCATTTCGCGTCGTCGTTGTCGTCTTTGCCGCCGCCGCTGTCGTCGTCGTCGTCGTCGTCGGCCTCGTCGTCGTCGTCCTCTCTTCTCCTCCTCGTTCTCGTCCTCGTCCCCCTCCACATTCTCGTGTCCTTACCCGCCCAATCCTTTCCCCTCCTGCGCATTTCCACTTTGACTACCCCGTGCACCACCTCTTGCTTACTTACCACCTCCTTGCTTACTTGCAAAGGGGTTCCCGTAAGCCCTGGCAGGGATGGAGGAGGGAGGATAATGGAGGACGTATACTCAAGAGAAGTCGAATCATATTTTGGCATTGTGACCTGGAGAGGGGGAAATGCTGTCGAATTTGAAATTTTGGGTCTCGTGCTTCTGAAGCCTCCAGAGGTTGCAAGATGGTGCCTGAAGGCTCATTCGCTTGGAGAAGGCAGATATTCTTCAGTCGTTTGATTGTTACCGTTGCTTTTGTCGTTTCATGTCGTCCCCGGAGGACCCCGCGCTCGTTGGAGCGTCAGCTTTGCGCGTGCGTTTTCGGACGGTCGCACGTTGGCCAATGGGGAGGAATGCATGGGGATGGATGGAAGTTCGTGGTGAATTTTTCGGGTGCGTAGAAGGACCATCGCAAAAGTTTGAAATTGTTTCTGGGGCTCGTTGGGACGGTCGCACGTAGGTCGGTGGCGTAGAAGGACAGGACCATCGCGAAATGTTCGAAATGGTGTTTTGCCCTCGTTGGAGCACCCACTTTGCGCGCGCGTCTTCAGACGGTCGCACGTTGGCCGGTGGGGAAATATGTGTGGGAGTGGATGGAAATTCGTGGGGAGTTTTTCGAGTGCGTACTATGACAAACCATCGCGAAACTTTGAAAAACTGTTCCCAGCCATCCTGTGGTGTTGGGTCCTCGTTTTGAAATAACGGTCCCCGCGTTCTCCTCCACCTCCTCCTCCCTCCCCCTCCTCCCCCTCCTCCCTCGTCCCTGCGCTTCACCCACCCAATACAACGCTTTGTGGCCCCATAAGGAGCTCCACCGACGCCCCCAGTGGGACAGCCCGCATGCGTCCGCACACACACACACACAC